CCCGGTTCGACCCAGATTGGGCGAACCGGTAGTAGCAGCAGTGGGAGACTCCGCCCACCTGCCCGAACGCTTCTGCGCATACACAGAAGTGTTGCGTGTGCGCCCAAATTGGTAGTAAAAAAATTGGCAGCCCAACGCTGGTCATATGTCACTTTTTTCAATGGTGTTATAACTCAAATAGTCACTAAATGAACTCTTTGTAAGTCAAGGACTACCTATATATGGCATGAAACTATGTCATATACAGTGGAGAATCCGAAGCATGTTCGCCTGGGTCTAGGGATTTACTGAGAGTATAGTGAGAAGGTTCACACATGCTAAACCATAAACATTGCTTAAAACCTTTGTTGCAGAGTTCACAAAACATGTTACATCAAAACTGCAAAATCACAAAAGGAAAAATATTATTTTGAGTCTTGCCTGAAGTATAAGTCTTTGTATTAAGTATCAGCTGGATACCCGTGCTCCGCTACAAAACTATGTGATTGGGCTTGATAAATCGACACTTACAGCTTGAAAATTAATGAGTAGTTACAATCGGCCTCTCCTATCCCCTTCTCTCAGGCTTGCCCCACAGAGGCCTCTTATATCTTATCCCCTTCTCTCCCTCAGTCTAACTCTTGTGTTAGTAATAATACAAAAAATACTAATGACCTGATGGTCATTTTGAAAAATCCTTTCTTAGCAAGCACCTAGAAGCCAAATTTTAAGTTTGTAGGCTTTACGGTTCTGGTGATTTCACAATAATGCGTGAGAGGTATTTTGCTTTATATATATATATAAAAGCAAAATACCTCTCCCACATTATTGTGAAAATCATTATGTATATATATATTGGGAAGCCCAAAAAGGTATTGAATCAAGGCAGAAATTCCTGGACTCTGTTAATAAAGTAAAGAAAGACAACATGGTTATCCATCCAGTTCTTACAGGGCAGTGGTGGGTACCGGTTGGAACGGGCCTGGCGGTGTCGCGCGCACCACGCGCGGACATGGCATGCATGAATCTTAGCGCCTCCGTGCTCCTCCGCGATGCTCCAGATGCTCCGTGGAGCATCATGCAGGTGCTGTACGTGCTATGTTCGTGTGCAGAAGCCTTAAAAGGCAGGTAAGGAGCAACCCACCACTGTTACAGGGCATCCAGCCTTGCAGGATCAGGATGAACGTAAATGATAAAAAGAGTGGGACTCTTCTATAACTCTTTTGATTCTATGAGTGTTTGTTTTCTCCTAGTTTAAACCCCTATGCTGGCCTAGTGGATTGCTTACGTGCTACCTGGATGTCAGGAAAGACCCGTCCAAGAGAGTATCGTGTCACACAGCTGGAGGCCCTGTGTCACTTTCTGGAGGAAAGACAGGCCGATATCCAGCATGCCTTGTGTGAGGACCTACGCAAGGTGAGTGGGCTATCCATTTAGAGCATCTGACATTTCAGAGGGGACTTGCAGATGAAGCACTTGTTGCCAGTTAATAAACATAGCACAGCTATTCTATCTTTCTTTGTTAGATTTTCCATGAAAAAAATTATGAAAAGGAAGCAATGTTTTCTATATGTGCCATGAAAACTGAATTTACCAAGGTGGCAAGCTGGCTCTCAGGCTACAGAAAATCATTATGTAAACAAAGTTGAGCAGTCAACAAATGATGAAGAGTACAGCCAAGTACTTTATCTCAGAAAAGTGGGATGAAAAAGTTTAAACTTATCAAGGCTTTGATTTATTTGCAGTCAGCCATCTAACTATACATAATTTTGTTTGTAGTTGAGTTTGTATGTGAGTCTTCTGTATGATTAAGTTTTAAGAACCTAGAGTACTAAGCCTAGTGCCATATCCTGGTGTAAAAACCAAATATCACATTTCAAGAATCATTTGAGATGAAGGCATGATAAAACTTTACCATGAATGAGACACAAGTTTACTCAATGAAGAACTGCTAAATAGTTCGCCTCTGAACTCAATATGGACATCACTGATGCATTTCATTTTGTCTTTCTTCTCCACAGCCCTGCTTTGAAACTGAGGTCACAGAGGTTTTGCTGGTCAGAAATGAATTGGCCTATGCTTTGAATAACTTAAACCATTGGATGAAGGATGAAAGCGTGAGCAAGAACCTGGTAAGGAGAGAAGTTGAGTGGTGGGAGAACAAATGAAAAGGAATGTTTTTTAGGTTGGATGGGGATGAAAGTCAAAATGATATGTTATCTCATCAAACTGAAGGTGGACTTTTTATCTGAAAAATTATTCTGGTTTTTCGGTAGATGACACAGCTGGATTGTGCCTTCATTCGCAAGGATCCATATGGTGTGGTGCTAATCATTGGAGCCTTTAACTTCCCCCTCCAGCTTACTTTGTTGCCCCTTGTGGGAGCCATTGCAGCTGGTGAGTGAGAAGCTATTTCCTTATTCATTTCAGACATTAGATCTTATGGGTGTTCTTCCAGAGATCCAAGTATTGGTGGATGTTTATCTGTTGCAACCTTGGTAAAGCGTTCTTTCCTCATTCTAGGGAATTGTGTGATTCTCAAGCCTTCGGAGGTGAGCACCTGCACTGAAAGGCTCCTTGCAGAAGCGTTGCCTTGTTATCTGGATCCGGTGAGTTCCTCATCTGCCAGTTTATCTTGTTAAAAAATCAAAATGAAGCTGAGGATTTTTGATTTGTCTTTTCTTTTGCCTTTGTCTTAATTAATCATGAGAAGGCAATTCCTTGGGCCCATTGAGGAAAAACTCTGGATCTGAACTAATCTCCATTTTTAAATCTGTTTTTGGAAGCTTGATGAGTTTATTTCTACTCCAGTTCCTCCCAAAAACATATATTCCTTTAGACTGTGGTGGTGGTGGAAACCTTCTGAGGATTACAACAAAAGCATCAAAGTGCACAACGCTTTTTCTAGCCTCTTGATTTCAGTGAAAATGAAGAAGGCTGTCCACTCTCTCAGCCAGCCACAGCAAAAGGGTGATGTACAATTAACAGTTGGATATGCAATGTCAGTTTATTTGGGATGTAGGTTATGTGCTTCCTGTTTTTCTTAAAATCCAAGTGCAGTGTAGGAGACTAAGTATATATTGTTACTTTAACAAAATACTGTTTTGGGTAGGTAAAGGAACAATGAATTTAGAAGAGTACTATGAAGGCAGGACAATTCCATTCCCAAGGTTAGATAGGGGGAAAAAATCATAGGTCCCTATTACCATATTCTCACTAAATAAAAAATTATCACCCATTTTAAAATTAAAACCTTTTAAAGAAAATCTTAATTTCCTTTCAATTTAATGTATCAGTTCCTTGCTCCAAATTGCTCTCAAAAGGCTTTTTGCCTTGCAAAGTTTCAGGGACAAAAAAACACCACCTGTGTGATGTGGAGGCAAGTTTGATTAGATGTGAACTTCCTTTTCTATTTTTTTTTGTTGTTGTTGTTTGTTGGATTTATATGCCACCCTTCTCTCAAAGGACTCAGGGCAGCGTACAACATTAAAAAAAAACATATTACAAAAGTTAAAAAGGAAATTAAATAAAATATCCAAAAACAAATATTTTATATATTTTATAGCAAACCTTTGCTGTGGTGACAGCTGGTCCTGAAGAAACAGGAAAATTACTGGAAAATAAGTTTGATTATATCTTCTATACAGGTGATTTTCCCTTCTTGAATATTCTTTTCAGGTTATTCTTTTTAAAAGTATAACTTAAAAAAAGAGTATTAATGACTATACAAATATCTATGTGATAAACTAATGTTCAACTATTGAATCTTTTAAGGTTCTGTTTATTTAAGATCATTATTTAAACACACACATACACCAGTAAAATTTATCTGTAGCTAATTACAATACCTCTAGACCAAATTGTATAGTGTGCTGCAATTTTGCCATATGTCTGAGTTAAGTAGCTTTACCATGTTTATCGCTATACAGCTGAATCAATGGCAGGTTAGACCTAGGGCAGTGATGGCAACCTTTGCAGGGCTGATGTGTCAAGAATTCGGAAAATGCCTAACTTAACACTGCCTGCATGTCACACACATACCTGTTCTGACCCCCTCCTCCATCCAGTAATGAATGCCGAGACAAGCTTAAATGAGAATGTCCTTTAATAACAAGTTCAGANGTCACTAAATGAATGATTGTAATCGAGGACTACCTGTATGCTGTAAAGCTCTTGCTTGAGAGAGGACATTGATGATATTAACCAAACTTGTCCTTTTCATGGCTCTGTATGAATAGAGCATGGGAGTAGAAAACAGGATGTGTGAGTCCAAAAAAGGTTGTTTGCATTTTCAATCTCTCAACTTTTTTTTACTAAGATTCATAGAAAATCTTTATTTCTGCCTTCCAATTGCTAATATACTACATCTACAATGTTAGCCATTTTGTGAGTATGTCTGCGGCACATTTTCAACATTTCAAATGTTCGTAGTGGCCCAAAGGTTAAAGACCCTTGTTTGCATCATGTCCCATATTATTATAGAGCTGCGACCTGAACAAACTCATGTTTGGAAGATTAAGGATGGGATTCCTAATACTCCTCTATTTTTTTTCTCTTTATAGGTTGTGAACGAGGTACTGGACCGTACTAACAGTGGTGGCTTTTGCGGTAATGATGTCATGTTGCAAGCAACATTGATTACCCTACCATTTGGTGGCGTTGGTACGATTAATTTTCTATGTTATCTTTATTTCTTACCTCTATCCTTATCCTTTCCTCTCAACAGTTCTCCCTCTTGATGATGTTTTTCATCAGACTAAAGACAAAAAACGTTAAAAGTTAATTTTAAACTATTTGCAGGTTAAAACAAATTGCTCAAATAGTAAATTTCCCTCTGTGCTATAAACTAGATGGTTGTCTATATACTACTAGAACTTGATTCATGTAACATTTAACTGGGCAAAACAGTGCACCAATCATAGGACATACCTTTTGACTCAAGGTACCTCAAATGGGCTAACTTACAGAATGCATCAAAAATCTGGAACTCAGGACTCCAGTGAAACTGAAATTTGGCAAATTAAATAAAATCATTTTATGACATACGATTATTATAAAACAGTTTAGGACATAACACAAAATGTCATAAAACAGTTTTGGTACTGATGCTTGATTGTGCTATACAGTTCGACATGGGCTATTTTCAAGGCAGATACTTCTCAGAATGTATCCCAGCTTTTTTTCAGTAAAGGCAGTTTATTAGAAGCTGTGCCAACTGTTGAAGACATTGAGGTATCTGTTAAGAAACATCACTGAAAGGATGACAGATTATCTGATCTATAAATAAAACGAGAGAGCATGAAACCTCCTAGTCCACATTATACATTATACTGGAAAGCAGGCATTAAGGAGAGGAGGCTCATTATTTTAACTTTGTAAGTGGTGCTAACAAGATCAAAATATAAACAGCTCTGGTTCAATAGGGTCACATGTTACACTAAACACATCTTAACACGCTGTGTAAATCAACATTTGATATGATAAATTTTAAAAAAGCAATAATTCCATTTTATTGGAGATTAAGGCAGTTGTAGTTCACCAATCATGAAACAAAACAGCCAGGAAGTTATTATCTAACACAGTTTTGTTTCTCTGTATGGGATTCTCTTCTTTAGTTTCTTCTTTAAGAGTAGTTGTTCAATATCCATTGAATATAAAACCTTTTGCAGTAAGTATTAGGAGAAAAGAGCTTTTTAAAGGCAGCTATTATCTAGCTTGAACAAGAATAACTATAAGGGCTGCTCAAGTTGTGTTGTTAGCTAAAATATGAGTGTGCAAGATTTGATCTGAATTTTTTTTAATATTGCAGGATGCAGTGGATTGGGCAAGTACCATGGCAAATTTTCTTTCGACACATTTACTCACTTCCGTGGCTGTCTCTCACGCTATATAGGCTTGGAAGCAATCAACAGAATGCGCTACCCACCATACAATGATAGTAATTTGAGATTGGCGGTTGCCTCTATGGAGGTCAGGCGTAAGGGAATGTGCACTTTGTTGTAAGGCATTAAATCACATCACCTGTGTATTTAAGGAATATCTATCAACAATTTTGTTGTTGAGTTGAGAATTTTTTTTCTTCATCAGCTGGTCCTTGAATTTTGCCTCATCATGTTCAAAGATTCTTGAAAAACACTCTCTTCTGATAAACCTTATTTTTGCCATCTTTGTTTCTTACATTTTTTCTTTATCCTATACCACCTTCAGTAAATTCAACATTTAGTAGTGGTTAGGGACTTAGGGACCCTTCAATTCTTTTTGCACCATTGTTGGATATACAACATTCTCAATTTCAGCAAGGACTATTTATACAATTAACATTTATGTATAAATTTTCATCTTGCCTTTAACACATAAAGTTAATTCTGCTTAAAAAATCTAGAAGCATCATATTCTTTGTTAAAAAAGGACAAGTACATTTCCTGTTTACAGTGGAGCAATCATTCTTGTCAGAGTGTGCACAGTGTGAGTACTAATTTGAGACAACTCAGGAGCAAAATACAGTACACGAGGAGAAAGATACACCCTCATATGGCCTCCCTTATATATACAGCTTCTTAAAGTGGCAGTAACCCTGCTGACTCATTCTCATGTCATCATCTTGGTTTACAGCCTTACTGCAAAGCTATTAAATTATGGTCAACTATTAAATTGTCATTACTCTGACAATTCTGATTTATATAGTTGTACAATAAGGGTAGCAGCATGGATGGTCTTTGTAAAATGATCAACTATTTCCTAGTGGATATTTAAATATTTGATTCATTAAACAACTTAAAGAAATTCAAAGCTGATCTAATACATGTTATTACGCAATATATGTTATTACACATAAACATATTCTGTTGACAATGCATTTTCCATATTGTGATGCTCTAAAGCTCAGACATGCCACCTTTAATTATATTTCTTTCAATATCCTTGCCTGCAAGGATGTTATAATTCAGATGTCAGATGATAGAAGGTATCCCTTCCATTGAACCAAGTATTGTAGCTTTCCCTGGAATCTAGGATTCGCTTTACCTCATAATGGGTCTCCCCTTCCATCACTATGGGGCCTGGGGTTATCCAAGCTGCTCGCCTTAGTTCAGAACCTAACCACTGGCTTCAGTAGGTTACTATGGAAAACTGGGTGCACCTTCCCTAGAAGTTTAAATTCCACTGTGATTGGGTTAATGATTCTCACAATGGGGAATGGCCTAAAAACTTGGGGCCTAGTTTTATGCATGGCAGTTTTAGCTAAAAGTATTTGGTAGAGAGGTAAACCTTTCTCCAACATGGAACGACTGATATCAGATTCTTTATGACGTTAGTGATTTCTACACTACCCAGCCCAATCATAATAATTGAAAATACAGTATGTCCTATCAATTTCAGAGACTTATTTCCATGTAAGTTTGCTGAAGATTGCAATCTTATTTAGATTTCCTGAGGCTTTGCATTTTCAAGCTAATGTTTTCCTTCTGTAATAAAGATCTTGAATCAAACCATGCAGATAGTTGACTAATTATTTAATAATGCTATCAATGGACATAGTGAATTATCTAATATAATAAAATTATTAATAAAATTAAGAAAAATCGAATAAAATTAGCCAAAAATTAATTCCTATAACAGGAGCTTTTGATTGAAATGTAGATATCAGGAAACAAAGACAACAAACTTTAAAAGAATAAATAGTGAATCTGCTACAATAAAAATAAAGAGCATATTTTAAAGTAGCAAATAAATCAAAATGACTTGTGTTTCTTGAATGGATACAAAGAGTTTTCAGGGAATAACAAAATGTTCTGTAACAATGATTATAGAATCATTTATTAACATTGATTGACAATGATGCATTCTTTCATTTGAAATACATTAGTAAAGTATTTTCCAACCTTTGCATTTTTAAGCTGGGTAGAGTTCAATTTCCAGAATTCCTCTAGTCAGCATATTGATTGGGATTTCTGTGGGAATTGAAATTCACTCAGCTTAAATTCGTGGAGGTTGTGAAACACTGCATTAGAAGAATGAATGATGTCGTAACATGCGCCTTCTACATGTATAGTATCTCCATTCAGAATGCATTCCCTTTTTTTGTTTTTTGTTTTTGCAGAAACTACCCACATTTTACTAGATGCATTCATACATTTATCAATACTGATGAACACTTATTGAGAGATACATATTTAATTAGTTGGTTAATTTGTTGGGGTAAATCTAACAATGCACTGCTCAGATCACATACAGATTCTTAAATCATCTTGGCTTAAGACAAAAATGTAAATATATAAGAATAAAGAATATAAAAAGATAAAAAGGCTAAATTAGATGAAAGCTATGTCCTGGGATATAAGACAATGAGCAAAGTATGCAAAACCAACCCCACGTAATACCTAATAATACTACTATTCATATCTATTTAGATAATCTCATTTTGTAGCTGGATAATATTTTAGCTTTAAAAAATCAGGATAGCACTTTTTATTCAAGCTTAAATTCTAGATTGTTTATTTATATAAAGGGTCACCTTTGGCGATATGGGTGGCTTGCCAAAGAGATAGAGGGAGGGAGAANGGTCCTCCACATCCTCCAGGGCCGACTCTTAGGGCCCCTCGCTGTCGGAGTCTGGTGGCAGCTCCAACAGCTCCTGCTGGGCCACAACACATACCTCACACCAAAATCAGAGGAACATTATCACCCCCCCCCCCATCCAGGTCACCATGAATAGCAGTTCTTGATGGTAGTGCCAAGGTTGGACCTGAAGCAGAGGCCGGGGCCTTGACTTCAGTCCTGGTGCCAATGCTGTCATTCAAAAAGTCCGCCTCACACTGTTTCCCAAGGCTTGCGAACCTTGGGGAGCTGCACCATTGCCCTTGTGGCTCAGTGCTCTCTGGGATCTGCCAGGCGCTACTTACCTTCAGCTGATGTTCTCTTTTGGTGGAGTTTTGCTGATCTTTATGGAAGAGTATTAGAGAGAAAAAAAACAATATAGGTGGTTTTTGAAGATGGAATTCAGCCCCCATTGCTGGATGGGAGTTGTGCTGAGTATGCCTTTTGACCCAACTTTTGCCATTTCTTTATAGGGAGTGTCCGTGTAGGAAAGATCATCATGACCGCTGCAGCAAAACATGTGACACCATTAACTCTGGAGCTGGGGGGTAAAAGTCCCTGTTATGTGGATAAAAACTGCTGTTTCCAGAATGCAGCCAACCGAATTGTATGGGGAAAATTCCTCAATGCTGGACAGACATGCATTGCACCAGATTATGTCATTTGTACACTTGAAACACAGGAGAGGTTGATGCCTTGCCTGCGCCACGCTATCTGTGAATTCTTTGGAAATGAACCCAAAGAGTCAGCTGATTTTGGCCGCATGGTCAATGACAGGCATTTCAAGCGGGCCCAAGCTTTGCTGGAATGTGGCCGGGTGGCCATTGGTGGAGAGACTGATGAGTGTGAGCGTTATATTGGTGAGTATATAACTTAGAACTGGAGGAAGAGCAAGAGGAAAGGTTTGGAGTTTGGGAAAGACAGGAAGACATTTCATGAACACTATCTAGTAAGCTTTTAGAGAAATCTCTGCATTTAATAGGAGTCGAAAATGACTCCTGTTATGTACATAATCAATCGTTGTTGTTTTTAACCAATTAGTCGTGTCCGACTCTTGGTGACTTTATAGGCAAATGGTTTCCATGTGATCTTGTCAAGCACCATTTAGTTCAATTATTGTATGTTCAACTTTGCATCAGATTTGATGTTATCTATCCAGCATATTCTTAGTTTACCGCTTCCTTTGTCCACTAACCGTTCCTAGCACCACTGCCTTCTCCAATGAATTTGCAGGCATAACATGGCCAAAGTAGATCAGACATAGTGTTATGATCTTGGCTTGGGCTGTGTCTGCTTTTATACAAGTTAATCAATCAATTACTCAAGCTTATTAAGAATGCATGATTTTGATTTAGATCAACCTCCCAAGTTGATGCTTAGCAAAGGTGTAGGACTGTTATTGGCCACACAGGCTTGGCATTTTGAAAATTAAAGTCCAAGAAAGCTACTTTCAACAAACTAACAAACTCTGAAAAATGAGATTATTAAAGTCCAATCAAACACAATAGTAGAGAAAGAAAGAAAAAAGACCCCAGTCAAAACCAGCATGTTTGCATAAAGAGCTCTCTGACAAACTGAGGTATGAAAAGGAAAAAGTAACTGGAAAGAGGGGCTCATAACTAGAACAGACTATCAGCAAATAGCCCAAATCTGCAAGGATGGATTCAGGAAAGCTAAAACTCCAAATGAATGAAGACTTGCAATAAATGTCAAATATAACAAAAAAGTTTCTTTCAAAATGTAAGGAATAAGAAGAAAGTCAAGGAAAGTATAGGTTCTCTAATTGGAGAAGATGGCAAGATGGTGCTGGGCGGCAGAGAAAAAGTGAAACTACTTACGTATTTTTTGGAGTATAAGACGCACTGGAGTATAAGAAGGTTTTGAAGAGACAATTAAAAAAAGGGCATGGATAGCCTTTAAGAGGCTTATAGAGTGCTCCTGGGAGCTGGGGGTGCAAAATTGAGCAAAAACCGGGCTGTTTTTTGCTCATTTCTGCCCTCCCCAGCCCCCAGGAGCTCTCTGAAAGCCTCCTAAAAGCTATGCACAAACATTTTGGTGAAGGGGTGGGGTTTCGGGAGGCATAAAATGCTGTATTCAGTGTATAAGATGCACCCAGATTTTCAGCCGCTTTTTTGATGGAAAAAGTGTGTCTTATACTCTGAAAAATATGGTAATTCCTTCTTTGTAATGTCTTCATGAAAAGGGGAAAAATAGCACTATGGAAGACAAAACAGAAAAACCGGTTAAAATAGGCAAAAAAAAAAGTACACTTCTCCACTTTAGCTGAGTTCAAATCGCAAGGACCAAATGGTTTACATCCCAGGATCCCAAAACAGCTGGTAGATCTCAGAATTACTGAACAAAATCTTTCAGAGCTCCTGGAGTATTGGAAAAGCACCAGAGGACTGGAAAAGAGTTGATATGGTTCCAATCCCCCCCCCCCCCAAAAGGAAAAAAATTGAACAATCAGCTTGACATCATTACGTGAGAAAATCCAAGAAAAGATAATCAAGGAGAGCATTTGTGAGCACCAAGAAATGAACAAAGCAATTAAGAGAAGCCAGCATGGATTTGTTAAAAACAGATTGTGCCAAATAAACCTTATTGCCTTCTTTGATAAAGTGACTAAATTAGTGGCTCAAGGAAATGCTGTGGATATAGCATGCTTAGACTTCAGGAAGGCATTTGGCAAAGTAGACCATAGCCTATTTCTCGGTAAGATAGGACAACCTGGGACAAACAAAAACAGATAGATTTGCAATTGCTGATCACCACATTCAGCCTGTATCCTTCAATGTAACAATGTCTAAGCACATAAATTTGATAATAAATAAATAAATAAATAAATAAATAAATAAATAAATGAAGAGAGACATGCAATAGGGTACCTCAGGGCTTCGTCTTGGGCCTATTGCTCAACATCTTTATTAATTATCTAGAATAGATGAAGGGGATAGAAGGGGAGCTCATTTGGAAGATTCAAAAGTATCTTGACAGACTAGAGCAATGGGCCCTTTCCAGTAAGATGGAGTTCAGTAGTGAGAAAAGATCCTGCACCTAAGCAGGAAAATGGAGAAGCAGCAATGGGTGGAAGCTTGTTAAAGTGATACTTAAAGGAGACATTTCCTGACTATGAGACCAATTAACCAATGGAACAGCTTGCCTCCTGGAATTATGCATGTTTCAGCCCTGGAAGTTTTCAAGAAAACATTGGACATCCATTTGTCCTTCCAGCCTCATGATTCTCTGATCTTGCAAGTCTCAGACTGGGAAAGTCTGTTTAAGATAAAGCGAGAAGGCAGACATGTTTTCTTGGGTTTGCATATTGGAAGAGAAGACCTGGGGAAAGCTCTCCAAATAAAGTTATGGTATATAAATAGAATAAGTCTTGATGTGATCTTTTGCTCATTACAGCTCCAACAGTGTTGGCAGATGTGAAGGAATGGGAGCCAATCATGCAAGAGGAAGTTCTTGCGCCCATCCTGCCAATATTCAATGTGAAAGATATGGAGGAGGCCATACACTTCATCAATTGCAGAGATCGCCCACTAGCTGTGTATGCCTTTTCCTGTGATTCCAAGGTATATTGTTTAAGCTACAGCACACTGTATCTGGGAGAATCTGGATTATTTCCCATAACCCATAAAGTTGTTCTGGTATGGATAGTAATGTTTTCCCTTCTATTGTACCACAAGAGCCCTTATGTAGACATTCTGAGGCACATGGAATCCTCTGGAGGTTGGCAGTCTCCTGGATTCCAATTGGCCCAGATGTCCCTTTCCTGTGTAACTGCTGACTTCTGTGTCTTGATGTAGATCAAATGTGGGTTTTCTAGATCAATATTCCCATTGGCATCCAAAAAAGCAAGACTTTGTACAACGTGCATGGCAGCCTCTTCCCTGCACTGGGCACAAGTGCTTAAGGCACTTCTCTTCTTTGAAATCATATGGTGTTTTAAAAAGTTTGATACCTAGAATTATTGAGAGGTCACTTTTCTTCTGACCAGAACTTTTCTAAATATGTTATTGATTTCCAACTCTCAGAAGAAGAGGTGTGGCTAAATCAGAGGTGGATTCCTACCGGTTCGGCTGAGTAGGTAGTAACTCAGCCGCCTACACCCCCGAATTGGTTCTATTGGCAGTGCCATAATTGCCACCATCTTGTTTTTTGCTTCTGTGCATGCGCAGAAGCATTTTTCACTACTGCGTCTACGCTCGTAGTGCACATAAAGCACCCACGTGCCTGAAGTGCGCATGAAGCGCGCACACCCCTGAAGTCCACACACACCCGAAGCACATCCCTGAGCGAACTGGCAGTAAAAGAATCTGGAACCCACCCCTGGGCTAAATTAAAATACAACCATGTAACTACATTGAAAATCCAGTCCCAAAGAGGACAAAACTAAGCAAAAAATAAAATGAAAGTTTCAACTCTGACTTCATCCCATCACAAGTTCATGAGGAGCAACTGGCGGGAGGTTATACTGTGTGGGGGCAGCTATATTACTAAGCTTGCTTTTGAGGTGTTGTACAGGTTATAGATTGTGGATAGACATATTATATATCCTCCTCCCGTTTCAAATGTCCTCTCCCAGAAGCCTGCTAGGTTTATACATTCTTCCCTTCCTTCCAAGATTGCATCTGTTTGATAATTGCTTGTGTCCTTATTATTTTCCAAGGAGTTTCACTCCATCCTTGGTCTGGGAAAGAGAGAGGCTCCCATACATGTATTGTCCTTCAGGCAAATAAATAGCAGGAAAAAATGAAATGATTTCTGTAATGTGCCATCCTGTCCTTGTAGCATAAAGTTATGTGACTAATTAGCTCAGCCTCTTCTTCTTCTTTTGAAGACAAATCAATTTTGCAAGTGACAATCAAAATTTATTTTTCATAAAGCTAGGATATATAACATCCAATTTACAAAATGTACACCAAGCTCTTGACAGACCACAAGATTGTGGTTGTCTGCTGTAATTAGTAAGCTTGGGAGAAGACAGTTTTCAAGTTCTGTATCAGGTCCGGGAAATTAGCAAAGAGAAGAATAAATATTCACTCCCAAATTATACAGAATGCTGTAACTTTCCAAAGAAATAGGAATAAGAAAGAATAAGTTTTCTAATACAGAGAAAAAAGTTGTTAAAATGAGCACAATCTCTAACCATAGCAGTCACCTATTCCTAATAATCTGAATCCTGAAGAAAAGTCATCTTTTTCTCTGTCTTTGAGCCTCCTGCAACTTCTTGAAAGTAATTTCAGCTATTTATCAGAGGTAGTGGAGTGATGGCATCCTCCATTCCCCCCCCCCCCCCCCAATTCAGGCACTGACATTTCTTGTTCTGTAACCCAGAATTCTGCATTTGCATTTTAAAAATACAACTTTACCTTTATCTGGAAGGAGAAGTTGAGACAATCCTGAGTGTACAAGTACTGCTGGATGTAAGACTACAATACAGCCCAAAATTTCTGTTGCTAAGCAAAGCAGTTTTAAGTGGGTTTTTGCCATATTTTATGACCTTGTTTGCCACAGTTGTTAAGCAAATCACTGCAGTTGTTAATCCTGAATTCATTAAATGAATCTGGTTTGCCCATTGATTTTGCTTGTTGGAAGCCAGCTGGGAAGGTTTCAAGTGGTGGTCACATGACCTTGGGACACTGCAACTGTCATAAATAGCAATAGCACTTGGACTTATATACCGCTTCATGCTTTACAGCTCTCTCTAAGCTGTTTACAAAGTCAGCATGTTGCCCCCAATAATCTGGGTTGTCATTTTATCCACCTCAGGAGGATGGAAAACTGAATCAACCTTGAGCCTGATGGGAATCAAACTCCAGGCAGTGAACTGAATTAGCCTGCAATACTCCATTCTAACCACTGCACCATAGCTTTTATATGCCAATTACCTGAATTTTGATACATAACCATGGGAGTGAAAACCAGTCTGTCACTGTTTTCAGTGCAACTGTAATTTTGAACTGTCACTAAATGAATGATTGTAATCGAGGACTACCTGTATGCTGTAAAGCTCTTGCTTGAGAGAGGACATTGATGA